CCTCTTCCACGCAGCCTCGCCCATCCTCCCTCTGCCCTCCTCTCTCCAACTCCTGCCTCCCCCACATTCCCTCTTGCCAGCGGCTTCGGATTACTGGACAATCATGCGGCGCTCTTCGGTATCTCATGGGGCGCTGTCGTGCCTCGTTTGGCAACTCCTCGGGCTGTTTCGGGGCTCCTGGGCCGTCTTTGGGGCATCTTGGAACGACCTCGGGGGCCCGGGGGGCCAGCTGGGGCGCTCTGAGCCGCCTTCCTGGACCCACGAGGCCGACTGTGGGATCTCTTAGGGCCGCCCTGGCGCTCTGTTGGCGCCCTCTTGGGCTGTCCCGGGGGCCCGTCCTGGGCTTGTTCGGGGGCCGTCTCGGGGCCGTCATGGGTAGGATTGGGGCCAACTGGGGGCTCTCATGGGGCTTTCTGGACCCGTCATTGATGTTGGGAGATTGCTGGGTCGAGGACGCGGTTTGAATACGGCATTGGCGCTTCGCGCCATGCACCTTGGTCCTTGAAGGTTGGCATGCAGGCAGAAGGGCAGGAAAATAAATCCGACACTTTAGCGATAACTCCTTGTTCCGTTGCTTCCGGCATCGTCGTTATAATAATGTTGTTCGTTATCCTTCCGTCATTTTTCCTGTTCCTCATGTTGCCCTACCCTGCGAATTCTTCCCCATCCTCCGCAACTCTTTTTGCGGAAGCTCCTTCTGGGAGCCTCTTGGGGTCTCACGGAAGTTTCAACGGCTGTCTCAAGGACTTCTTAAGGCCTCCTGGGCGCCATCTGGGAGCCTCTGGGGCTTCCTCGGGTCACCCTGCTTCCAACCGCAGTCTCCCTGAACGACTAGTAACGATTCGGAATGCTTCGGGGGCCATCTTGGGGCCATCTTGGGCCGTCATGGGGCTCTCTTGGGGTCATCTTGAAACCCTGTTGTGCTGTCTTGGGGCTCCCTTGGACTGCCTGGAAGCCCTTTCGGATGGTTTCGGGCCGATGCTCAGACATCCCAGGCGGTCTGGGGCGCCCAGAAGACTGAAGAACAGGACATTCCCCAAATCATACAAAACACATGGACAATCCATGCTCCTCTGCGTTTTGAAAGCCTCTTGGAGCTCTTACCTTGGTCGTCTTCGGGCTTCTGGTGGGTGTCTGGAGCCTCTTGGGGCCCTCGGGTGGGCGTTCAGCCGCATTGACCGATTTGGGCCCCTTGCCTAGGTCCAGCACGGGCTTCCAGGAGCTCTGAAAAACTAAGGGGGCCTCCTGCAAAGGAGTCCAAGGGGCACCCGGAGACCATGAATCCGGGTGGTTCCGTTTCGGGGGGGGGGTGCAGGGTTTCCGCAGGGTCTGGAGTAATACAAACTTATGAGAAGGAATATAGCTGTGTGTGTGTGTGCACGTGTGTATGCGCGCACGCACACCACGCAAACACACACACACACACTCTCACACACACACATGTGCGCAACCATATGTGAATACACACTTACTCACTCGTACCACCCGCGCGCGTCGCATGCGGGCCTCGCAGCACCAGACATGGCAACCTACCACATGTCGGACACAACGAGAAGTGTTGCTGCAGTGCTGCTGCGTGGTCCTTGTTGCTGCTGATGCTGCTTGCTATCATTTGTGACTGGTTGCTGCCTGCTGCGCAATGTCGCTGGTGCGTATTGCCGACTGCTGCTATCTTCTGCCGCTTGGGCATGCCTTGGGACATCTGGTGCGTTGGTGAGGCCCTCGAAGGCCGGCAGAGGGGGCTCTCGTGGGGCCTCTGGGGCCGCCAGGCGGTGTCCAAAAGGTCTCTGAGGGTCTTCTTTACCAGTCTGGGGGCTCCTGGAATCGCATTGGAAGCTCTCTCGGGTCGTCCGAATGCCGAGCTTCATTTTGGAATAATATGAAAACTCTCTTGGACCGCCTTGGACCCTCCTGGCGACCCTCTTGGGCTGTACTGGGACCCTCTGCAGGTTCAGTCGGGCAGTTTTAGTCTGCGTTCGGGGCTCCCCTGGGCTGCCTGAACAAAAGCCACACGCATGCATCTCCAATCAAAACACAAGGCCTTCAGCAAGGAGTCGCCGAACGCAAGGGGCTGTCACAAAGTCCACAATGTCACGCCTGCGGGCGTCTGCGCATGCTGGGCCCGAACCATTTTTCAAACAATAACAAAAACAGTCGCGACCAGAGATCCTGCGGAGCGCTGGAAGGCGAAGCACGGCATACCTTTCCTGCTTGTGTGTATGTATGCGTATATATCTATATATACATAATATATACACATATATACATACATACATCAATAGGCATACGGACCTTCCCGCCACGGTGCCCGGGCTGTGTGGCAGAAGCCTCTTGGGTGTTCGTTGGTACCTGGTGGAAGCCTCTCGGGAACCGCGTTGGGGGCCGCTGTGAAATTTTGCGGGGGCCGTTTGGGGGCTCTGGGGGGCCTCTTTCGGGCCTCTTGGGGGCCCTCTGGGGCCTCGTCCGGCCTCCTTGGGGCATCCTTGGGGCCTCGTCGGGCCTCGTGGGAACGTCGAGGCGCATCGTCGGGGCCTCTTTGGGCCTCCTGGGGGCCTGGGGGGGCGGAAGGCCGGATTGTGTGTTCGTGCCCCCCCTTTTGGAGCCCTCTGGGGCCGCTCTGGGACCCCTCTTGGGCCGTCTTGGGGGGCCGCTTGGGCCGTCCTGGGGCCCTTTCGAATCATCTTGGGGCTCAGGTCTCTGACGCAGTCTTCGGGCTCTCTTGGAACCACTTCGGCCGTGTTGAGACTTCCTCACAGTTCATTCACAGACGAGGCTCCCGCTGGAGACTTCCACAAGATTCAAACTTCAGGGACCACAAAGTGACGACAATCGAACATGAAGTGCGGGCCCCATAAACAGGGGGCTCCCGCCTGAGACTTCCTCAAAATTCACTAGGGTTTGGATGACGCGCTCGGAATGGAACATGAAGTGCGGGACCCATGGGGACGGGGCTCCCGCTTCAGACTTCCTCGCAAGTCACTCACAGACGAGGCTCCCGCCTAAGACTTCCTCCACATTCAAGCCTCAGAGGCCCAAGAGTGACGACAGTTACATGGTTTAGATGACCCGATCGGATTCGAACATGAAGTGCGGGCCCCATAGGGACGGGGCTCCCGCCCCAGGCCTCCTCGCGACTATTCGCTCACAGACGAGGCTCCCGCTCGAGGCTTCCTCAAGATTGATGCCGCAGGGGCCCCAAAGTGACGACAGTTACGAGGTTGAGATGACGCGCTCGGATTCGAGCATGAGGCGCGGGCCCTATAGACGGGGGGCTCCCGCCTCAAGCTTCCTCGCGGTTCACTCACAGACGAGGCTTCCGCTTGAGACTTCCTCCGTATTCAGATCTCAGGGGCCCCGAAGTGACGGCGCCTGCGGGGTTTGGGGGGCTCGCTCGGATTCGGCCGTGAGGTGCGGGCCCCATAGAGACGGGGCTCCCGCCTGAGACTTCCTCACAAATCACTCACAGACGAGGCTTCCGCCTGATACTTCCTCCACATTCAAGCCTCAGGGGCCCTAAAGTGACGACAATTACAAGGTTCGGATGACCCGCTCGGATTACCAACGTGAGATGCGAGCCCCATAGGGAGGGGGCTCCAACCTGAGACGTCCTCACAACTCACTCACAGACAAGGCTCCCACTTGAGACTCCCTAACTATATTCATGATGATGTTCGGGTGTGGGGGGTGATGATGATGGTGGTGATGCTGATGGTGATGATGGTAGTAATGCGGATGATGGTGACGATGATGATGAGGATGATGATGATGCTGCTGATGATGATGATGTGTGTGACTGTGTGATGATGACGACGACGATGGAGATGATAGTGATGGTAAGTGCTGGTGAATGATGATGGATTGATGACGGTGATGGCGAGTGGTGATGATGATGATGACGATGATGATGATGAGGATGATGATGATGATGGCGATGCTGATGCTGATGAGGTGTGTATGATGATGGTGATGATGATAAGGATGATGATAAAGATGATGATGATGATGATGATGATGATGATGATGATGATGATGATGATGATGGTGATGATGATGGTGATGATGGTGATGGTGATGATGATGGTGATGATGATGGCGATGATGATATGGGGTGTTCCTGTTCCTGCGCGGGGGTGTACAGAGAAAACAAGACACCCACTTACGATGTGGGGACATATTCCCAAATCCTTGAAAACAGAAGGCCAATCTATAAATTGGGCCTCTTGGGGAACTCGTCGGGGTCCCCGTGGAGATTTGTTTTTTTCCGCGGGCGGCGTGCACTCCGACGCCAATACTCGAGCATGGCTTCTGGAGGCATGCAAGCGGCACCACTGGCAGGATGCAACACAGCGACTACCCGAAGCTGGCACAGTGATGTGAGGGGGGGGCTGGACGAAAGGGTCGAGCAGAAACGGGCAGAATCAGTCAATGTCGAATCCGTAATTCGTGGATACTTTCGTGGATACTTACGTGGATCGCAGCATGGGGGATAGGACCACGCAACAGCCTCAAGACAGTGGCTTGAATGGCCACAAGATGCTGCCGGACAACCGCTGAGGGTGGAGCAAACACAAGCAAAGCACAAAGTCTCAGAAACCCTGTAAGACAGACAGCCACTGAGAGTGGTGCTAATTGGCGCGCGACTTACTCGGAAATCTCAGAAGCCCTGGAAAAAGGACAGCCACTGAAAATGGTGCAACTGGCGCGAGCTACGCACAGAAGCATCAGAAGCCCAGTACAAGAGACAGCCACTGACAGTAGTGCGAACTGGCGCGAGCCCAGCACAGAAGTCTCAGGACGGACAAGGCGTGAACCGACTGAAAAGGAGGAGGAGGGGGAGGAAAGGGAACCTCTGAACCACCCGAGACATACAACAAAGCTCGCCGTCGATGTGGCTCCTGGCATCGCCGAGGCCGCCGGCCCAGAACACGGTCCCGGGAGAAGCGGGAACTGCCCTGCCGGAGCCTCCTCCCTCCCCCTCACCATCCTCTCCTCCAATCCTTGCCGCCCCGCCAGCTCCCGCGCGCGTTCCCTCTCCGTGGACGTGACGGCTCCAGGCCAGGCAGAAATGAAACGATCGGCTTCATCTGCGCTACGACCGTGAAGTGCTGAGAAAAAGGTGCACGTCGCAGCGAGTGACCATCAGCAGGAGAAGAGGAGAAGGGAACCAAAACCGAGGCCACTGCTAACAAAGAAACCGAGGTGTGCCAGCCGCCCTCGCCGCACGGGCGACCTCGAGGGCCACGCCGAGCACGGAAGGCAACGGCAACCACCTGCAAGATCTCCGGCCTGACACCGCGCCGAAGACGCCCCGCTCTGAGGTTTGGTGTCGCGAGAGAGGGGGGGGGCAAGAAATGATTGGAACACTGCAGGCCGTCCGAGTGGCCTCCGGAGCAGTGCTGAGCGGCGGGGGGGAGGCTCAGGAGGCCGCAGAGAGGGGTGAGGAATGTCGGGGGCCCATCTCATTCTTTTGCCTCAACGCTGTGCCACGCCCGGCGCACGGCGGCCGGTTAGAGTGTCGCGGCAAGGAAAGAAGGCGGCATCGCTTCGGCGCCCTTGAGTAGAAACGAGCCCCGTTGCGCGCTGGTGTGGGCGTCCCCGCTGGGCGCAGTGGCCAGGCCCTGGACAGCTGCAGAGCGGGGATGCGCCCGGGGCCTGGTGAGCATCCCAGACGGGGAGTGCGACCAACAGGATCAGCTGCCAGGAACGACGATGAGGATGACGATGACGATAACGAGCCCGATACCATAGCCACGAGGAGAAGGAGGAGGAGGACAGCAGGCACCGTCACCGTCACCCTCATCGCTGAGATCGGCGCTGAGGCATGTCATGGGGCCGTGCCCTCTCTCCCGCGCAGGTGCTGTGCTCAGAGCTCCGGGCACGACCGCCCCTTCGGGACGAGGACGTCACCTTTGCAGGTCTTGAAGATGCTCATGCAGCGGAGCTTCTCGAAGATCTTCTCGCTCGCGCTGAGGTCCATGTCCTTCTGCCTGATGAGGTACTTGTACAGCGAGCTCACTCCCACCGCGGCGGTAGAGAGCCCCCCTCCAATCACTGCGCCGATGGGGCCTCCTACGACTCCGCCGATGATGAACCCACCACCCATGATGGCACCGATCTTAATGTTTCGAGAGTCCTTGAGCTTCCAGCCGCTGGAATCAAAACTCTCGTTCGCAGGTGCAGCTTCGACTGTAGCGGCGACGCGCAATTGGCAACTGGTCTCCCTCCTCCGAGCTCAGGAGGGCGAAGCTCGCCGAGGTGCAGTTGGGGTCCGGGGCCAGGAGCTCCTCGCCCGCCCGGCCGTTCTTGAAGTGCCGCAGCGCCTGCCTGGCCAGGAAGTCCGGGAAGTACAGGCCCCCGAGGAGCTCGCTCGTGATGCCCTGGCCCTGGACCTCCAGAACGCACGACTTCGGCCCGTCGGGGGTGGCCACCGGGACGCACCGGATGTACTCCACGTACTTCTCCCCCAGGCGCAGAGTCGAGCTGTCAGCAGGCCGCTCGGAGCCCGGAGGGCGCACCGGCAGCCAGGTCGACCGGTACTCCGGCAGCATGCTCGGCATGGGCCCATGGTCTCTGCTCGCAGCCTCGATGTACCTCTCGTACTTCGCGGCCCACTCGCTGTGCTTGTGGAAGATCAGCTTCGGAGAGCGCTTGTCGCGCACGAGCTCGATGGCCGTGGGGTCGCCGTCCCCCTCCACGGACTGGAAGCAGTACTTTTGCGCGTCTCCTCGGAAGAGAACGGGTTGCAGACGCGCCACTTGTCCCCATCGCTGACAAGGCTGGCCGCGCTGTCAGCTTCAAGGGCGCCAAGGTCTCCCGAAGACCGGGCTGCGGATCCTGCGCGGAGCAGGCAGGCAGTGGGGCAGGAGAGCCAGCGGGCCAGCCTGCGGGCTTAGCTCTCTGGGCGCCGCGGGCGGTCAGTGCCACCGGGCTCGGCAGAATCGGCAGCTCCGGCAAGGGAGTGACTCGGATGTGGTAGGCTTGAGCCAGAACGGCTTGAGCCCAAATGGCTACGGACCCCGGGGAGACTTCTTGGGCCGTCTTGGGGGCCTCTTGATCATTTGGGAAAGCTTCGTGGGCCGTCTGGGACCCCTCGAGGCCGTCTTCGGGGTGGTTCGGGGCCGCCTTGGGCCGCCGGATCGGCTGCCTGATCGCTCTAGATGCCGACTTGCGGTCTACCAACAGCGGGCCTGGCCCCGAAGCGCCCCGAAAAGGGTCGGCCCCCCCACCTTGGATTGAAAAGGGGACATGGGGGGAGTTTGGGAAAAGTGGGCCGCCCCTGGGGCCGGGGGTCCGGTTTCCTGTTTTATGATATATGCCTTTACCCGCTCCGCTGGCCTTGCGCCGCCTTGCTTCACCTTTCCCAGGTGGGCCTCCTCCTCCTGCGGCCTCGCTTCGCTTTCCCCAGCTTTCCTGCGCGTTGCTGAACCAATCCCTGTCTTCTTCCTTGCCCTGGTTTGTCTTCCTTTTGTTCTTTCTACTCGGCCTTCTCGTCATGATCCTGTTACGCCTGGCCCTCTGAGGCGACCCAGCACGCAGTGGGCAACCTGCTGGCGACCAAATCTGCTCAAAACCAGCGGCCGCAGAGCAAACGCAAACGGGCAAGGACTCTCTATGCAAGCTGAAGAAGAGTGGGAAGGAATATGAGACGCACGACAAGGACGAGGAGAGGGATTGCGGAAGGCAGGGGTATCTGCGCAGTCAGTAGCTCCTCCCGAACTGACGGAGCTGGCATCTATTGCGCAATCAGTACGAGAACATCTTTACAATCATCGTTGCGCTGGCATGCTGGTCCCGAATAGAAAGGCCGTCGCTCAAGACAAGCAGCTCTTGGATTGGCCTGCGTCTTCGTGCGCCCAAGCATTATCAAGTTTGGGGGCCTTCTTTGTGAACCTACGCCGTCCCGACCCCAGCGTGCCAACTCGCCTCCTGACGCCTTCCAACTCAAATGGTGTATCCACTTCCGAACCCCAACCAGGCGGTTCCACGAGGGAGGCCCAAGCAGCCCAGCTTCGGCCAGCCACGCGGGCGCATCACGCGGCGGTCGCGCCGGCGCCTGTGACAAGTTGGGCACGGCGAACGGCGGCGCGGGCACGGAGAAGGGGACCTGGGGATGCTCCACCGCTGGACTCGCGCCTCCCAATCTAAACCAGCGCTCAGTACAATCTGTACACAGCTGAGGTCTGGAAGCGGGGGGGGGGGAAAGCGGAAGGAGGGGAAGGGAAGAAAGGGGGAAAGAAGGCCGGGCTTCACGGCGGCCGAGAAAAGTGGAGCAGCCGCGTGATGCATAGGACTCGGCACCCAGCGTGCCGTTCTGTTTTCTCGCCCGAGCGAGCCCTGTTGACAATGGGCACTGCACGGCCCGCCAAGCCACGTGATGTGTACATCTATACATTATATATACACAAAAAACTAGAACCACCGCGCGCGCTCAAGTTCTAGCTAGGCTCGAAACGCCAACGCATGGAATCTCAATTGTGGAAGTGCCTGATGCATCGAACGACCTCCCTGGAGTCCCTGCGCAAGCCTCGGAAGCGTATAGAAGGGGAGATGTGGAAACCACAAAATCATCAATTTCCTTTCGGTGTTCGATGATTTGGGGCCCTCGAAGGCTTCCTGGGATCTTTCTTCGGTGGTGACGGGGGCCTTGATTATGGTCTGCTGAGCAAAGATAAACAAAAGATACTCCAGATTTCGTAATAAAGGGAGGGGGGTCTCATTTCGGGGGGGGGGTCTCTTCCAGGCTATCTTGGAGGGCCTGAGGGGGTCTGGGGGCGATGTTTTGGAGGGTTCTCCCACAGGGGGGGTCTGAAATGGCTCGTCTTGGAGGGTCCAGACCCCCTCCCTTTTACTACGGAATCTGGAGTAAGCTGGAAAAGAACGGAATTCTTGACTGCGTCTTTGATTTGCCATGCCTGGGCCGTAGATCAAGAAGTTTCCTTGATGCAGGCCAAGGGCTGCTGGGACGCCTCCTGGGGGCCTCACGGCTTCTTTTTGGAGCCTGTCGGGGCCCCTGGGGACGCTCTGGGTGCCTCCTGGGAGCCTCCCCGGGAGTCTCTGAGGGCACCTGGGAGGCGCCTCGAGAGCCTTTGCGAGAACCTCGGAGCCATCTCGAGGCAAAGCGCTCGAAAGCTTTGGGCAGGTGCTCTCTTTTGTCTCTGTCTTGGCGCGCGCGCGCTGGCTGGACTGGTGAACTCATGGGATGCCGTTTTTTTAACCGTGGTTTCAAGGGCAGCCAAGAGGACACGAAGACGACCCGATAGAGTGTCAAGACAGCGTCAGAGAGTTCAACAGCATTCCCGAACAATCTTTGCAATTTGACACTGAAGTCTTGATGGGGCTCGGGATGCACTTGAACAAACAGAGAATCACTGGATTTCCAATTTTTTTCTTCAGACGGGGCCTCCTAACATGTAGTGCGCAGGAATCGAGGGGACCTCAGAGGCGTGCATGGGAGCTCTAAGGGATGCAGTTTGGAGGCCGCTGGGGGGCTGTTTGGGGGCCTCTTGGGGCCACTCTTGGGCCTCTCCGGGGCTCGTGGGGGCTCTTGGGGCGTCCTGGATGCCTTTTGGAGCTGAAAGCCGGGATTGTCGACGCGCGTTCCCCCTGTTTTGCGGCTTTTCAGGCCATCTTGGGGCTCTCTTGGGCAGCCTCGGGACGCTCTGGCCCGTCTTGGGGCCTTCTTGGCCCGTCTTGGAACCGGCTTGGGAGCTCTTGGGCGGTCTTGGGGCGGTCTTGGGGGCCTTTTCGGCTGTCTTGGAGCATTGGAAGCTCGAAACGCGAGAAGGTTAAAAACCAATCTAAAAACACTGGAAATCAACGATGTTTGCTCTTCGGGCGCTCCCAGGACGCCTCTCGAAACTCTCTTGGGGCATCTTGGAGGCCTCCTGGGAGCCTGGAGAGCCGTCGGAAGTCTGTCGTGGGCTGCTTGGGAGCGTCTTGGGCAGTCCTTTCGCGATCTGGGGGCTCCCTGGGGGCGTCCTGGGCCGTCATGGAGCGTTTTGGGGGGTCCCCAGAACGTCCTGGGGTGCGGTACCGGGAGTTGCCCCCAGATGTCCCAGATGTGTGGGACGCTCCCGAGGGGGGGGGGGGGGCGTATTTGCCTATATTCGATATTGAGATGTTACAAGAAACTTCAAATCCAAGCGGAGGCAGCTATGCGGCTCAGGTGTCCGAGTAGTGCCGCACCGTCACCGCTTGGCGCTGGGACTGAATGACTCATCCAGCTGACCGAGCACTAGCACTGGATCGGTGCCCCATTGACCAGCCTTCCCACTGCTTGGCGCCCGCCTCTCCCTCCCTTCCTTGCCTTGCCCAACCTCGCCTACCACCTACCCAGCATCACTTACCGCACTACCCTGACCTCGCCCTGCCACCACCTGCCCCAACCTGGCTCACCCCGCGCTGCCCTGGCGTGCCCCGCCCTGACAAGCCCTGCCCCACCCTGCCATGCCCTGCCCGATCCTCCACTGCCCCTGCCACCCCCCCGCCGTCAGGAGGAGAGCCCACCTCTCCTCGAGCACCGCTCCACACTGACCCCCCCCCCCCTGCGAGATGCCCCTCGCACGGGGGCGGGGACCGCAGCCTCGTTCGGGAACACCGGCGGCTGCACGACGGACGGGAAGACGGGGGCCCTGGCGGAGCGGGCGCCAGAGAGCTCCTCCTCTTCGCGGCCGAGATGTGGCAGCGGGGAGCTCAGAGTACAGAAAGGCAAGCCTGCAGTGCGAAGCCTGCCTGCGACTGCCAGGCTCCATCAAGATGCTGGCAGGCGGAGAACACCGAAGAGCGACCTTGAAGGCTCAAAGCTTGCTCGCAAGAGCTCCCTCCTGGGCGAATCCTCCTCCATTCCTTCTCCTCATAAACAACTTCGCCCTGTCGCACCCCGAGGCCAGTTTTTAGGGCGGGCCGGGCGTTTTGCCTGAGACCTCCTCACCAATTATGACCCTGGAGCTGAAGCATTGGCAACAGTTTCACAGCTGGAGGGCGGGTCGTTTTCGAAAAGTGGCTCTCGCCTTAGCGCCGCGCACGTTCGGTTTCAACACTTGCAAGAGCTTCACGGATTGAGAGCGTTTTCACAATGTGGCCCTCGCCTTAGCGCCGCACACATTCGTTTTCAAAATTCGCAAGAGGTTCACGGATTGAGGGCGGGTCGTTTTCACAATGTGGCTCTCGCCTTAGCGCCGCGCAGATTCGTCTTCAAAATTTGCAAGAGGTTCACGGATTGAGGGCGGTTCCTTTTCAAAATGTGGCTATCGTTTTAGCGCCGCGCACACTCTTGCTAAATATTTCACGGATTCGCAGGGTCGACGTATCAGAAATGGTTTCTTGGAATGATTCACGATGTTGACGGCGCAACAGTTACGAGGATTCGCGGAGTTGAGGTCCCAGGAATGGCGTTCTGGCCCGATGCAGGATCTCAAGACGCAACAGTCAGGTTCATCCGTGGCGTTGGAATACCGAGAATAATGTTTTGGCATGCTTCAGGGTCTTTGAACGGTTGTCTTCCAACGAGGCAGGACCCTCTGTGGAAATGAACAGCTGTAGGGGCCTATGAAGAGGGAGCTTGGGGGAGGGTTTACTCCAACATCGTTGGTGACTCTTGGGTTTACACTGGTCCTCCTCCTCCTCCGCCTCCTCAGCTGTCAGGGTGTGGCAGGAGGGAGATGAGGGAGGACGGCAAAGGGGATCGTCGCCGTCCTTGTCCTCGCCGGCCCTCCGACTGGGGCGCCTCCCCCAAACCAACCACCACCTCGAACGGCAATATGTGGGAAGAGAGCCAGCCTCCCCCATGATCCGCCTCATAATCGCTCCCTGTCCCTATGTTCCTCATGTTCCTCCTCCCGCTCCAACATTTCCGCCTGGTCCTGATGCTGGCGGCCCTCGGGTCTGTGACTCCTCCTCCTCCTCCTCCTCCTTCGCCTCCTCCCTCCCTCTCTCCCTCCCCCGTGTCCCTCCTCCTCTCGAAACGTGTTAGAGTCCTCCCGCCTCCTCCTCCTCCTCCTCCTCCTCCTCCTCCCTCCCTCCTTCGCATCCTCCACCCTTTTCGCTTACCCCTTTCTTCAAAATTACCCAAACTTTGCCGTACCCCTCCTCCTCAGCCTCCTCCTCCTCCTCCACCTCCTCCTCCTTCTTTTCCTCCTCCTCCTCCTCCTCCTCCTCCTCATCATCATCATCAGCGACAACAGCGACAACATCATCATCCGCGCGCAGTCCATCAGCGGATGCAGAATATGAGGAAATGAAACGTCCCACCGCAGGGGCGCCTGTCCCATGGGGGCTGGGGTGCTTACCCCCGCAACCTCCAGCCGCCCAGGGGCCAGGACCGGAACGTTCGATTGCGTGCCGCCCTCCGGGGAAGGGAAGCCGGGCACAACGACACGCCTCCGTGGGGAGCCCTCCCTCATCAGCGCGTCCGTGCGGCAGGGCCCCCGACACTGGCAGGGACTTCGCCCCGTGGGTCGCCGCGCTCTGGTCCAAAGGGTCGGCACAGGCCTCCGCGGTCCCCGACTCGGATTTGGACACCCGGAATGGGTACCGAAAGAATGGGTACAATGCCCAACAGCAAATGTTGTCCCAAACCAACAGCGGCCGCTGTTGGGCAGGCGGCCTTCCGCCTCGAATGGACACAGGCCGCGGCGGCGCGGACAGCGAGTCCCGCTCAAAATGAGCAGGAACTGCTGTTGGGCATCGTACCCATTCTTTCCGTGCCCATCTCGTTCGTGCAGATCTGAAGAGGCCCCAGGACACACAAATAAATACACACAAATAAAAAGATCCCCCATATTTTCCCATATTTTCGGGGTTTCTGTCTTCCCCCCCACTTCCCATATTCTCCCATATTTTCTGGGAATCGCCGATTAATTGTGTCTGTGTGTTTTTTCCCTCCTGAATCTCGTTCGTGCAGATCGGAGAGCCGGGCCCGCGCTGTCCTCTCGGGATGCCGGCGGCACGAGCGCAGAAGGGCCTGGGCCCATCCGGGCAGCCGAGGCCGGAGACGTGGCCCAGGGGGCCCTGCGCCGTCCGAGGAGCACTGCGCCGTGGGAGGGGCGGCGAGGGCGAGGGCGAAGGACGAAGGGGGGCGAGGAGGGGGGGGGAGCGGGGAGGGGCGCGGGGGGTGCGAGGAACGAAGCGGCGAGGGCGGAAGGGGGCCAAAGGGCGGACAAAGGAGAGCGGAAGGAGAGTGGCGAGCGAGGGGAGGGCGGGGGGAAAGAAGAGGGAGAACGAGAGAGAGAGAGAGAGAGACTGAGGCGCTGAGCGGGACGGATCGGGAAAATCAGCGCGCATCAAAGGGCCCCAGCCGAACGCGCCCGCCTGGCGTGCTCACAGCCATTGACGTCCACAGGCCCGCCCACGGGGGTGGGGAAGATGGAGACCTGATGGGACTGGGGCATGACGGCTCCTGCTCGAACAACTTCCCCCCCTCCCCAACCTCGTCGCTGTCTCGATCCTCTGCTTTCCTGACCAGGTGCGTGGTTACCCAGGGAGCACCCTGGCCAGGCAGCCAGCTTTGTCTGGCGAGAGCGAGTTCGCGCTGCAAACCAGAAGGGTCAGGGATACAACGCAGGGCAAGGCTCGGCCATGGTGCCACGGGGCACCCGGGCAAAAGTGATTCCGAGCCCGCTTGTTGTAGGAATCCCCGGCTCACACTCGAACACTGAGCTCGACTCGAAAGAAATCCCGCAAGTCACTGCTCACCTCCACGCCAGCACATCCTCCGATCATTCCGACATGGATCTAAAACACCTGAGCGGGGTGGACGGGAAGGACCTTTGTTTATGACCACCTGCGCACATACGTGCGCGGGATGACATGAGGTTGTGCTGCGATATGGAATATATGGGCACCAGGTGCTGCATTGCGATGCCCACGCCGTCCATTCGCGAAAGGGTCTTGGTTAAGACCTGGGGCGGCGTGGCACCTGACCAAAAATGCCACCAACGAAATGTGCCGTGCTACAGAAGGATGGAAAGTTGCAAAATTCGTGCCACTATGTCGGCACAATCGTCCGATGCTTCCGCAACCACAGAATCATCGTCCTGCTCGTGGAAGCATGCTGCAGATCACACGTGGGCGATTTGCAATTTCACATCCAGGGGAAATAGATCGCCTAATTTGGTGAACACATCTGAAGCACTACACTCCAGATCATGCAATTGAGCCGTAGGCTCGATTCAGCACCACCTGGCGTTAATCTTGCGCGTGGGCCTGCAGCGCGGTGTCAAACAACGCCACCTCGCCACAAAGGCGGTGTCGACTGCAGCTCCGACCCTCCAGAAACGGTTGGCCCAGCACAGCGTTAACACCAAGGCAGCGGCAGAAAGTGACAACACAACTATGCAGTCCCACGCACCATCTGCCTCATGGTTTTCATGCCCCCGCTGCAGATGTTCACGTTTCAGAGCCCAGCAGCTGCATCCACACGCAAGCTGTATGTGTAAAGATCCTTCCCGAAGCACGTTGCCCACGTAGAAAAAATGGGCCTCAACCTAATGTTGTGACTGCCGCTGGGGTGGGTCGTTCGTGAAGTCTACTATTGCCGTGTGGGGCGTCCATGACAATCAATATGTGGAACCTCGTCGAACGTCATTAATCACACGCTGCGTTTTACGTGTCCATTGTGATATCGCGCGCGAGTAGCTCAATCTGTGTAGCGACGATCCCTACGTGCATGTACCTGCCAGACTAAACCCACGTGCGCACTGCATCCTTAAAATATACAACGCTTCAACGTTGACCTACAAACGTAGCGTATCAATCCATATTGCCGCCGATGCACACGCCAATCCAATCATGCACCCACCAGGCACCTAGATATCCAAGTGCTTCCATCCATCGGAATAGCAATTAAAAAACACGTATCCAACGATCCACCCATCCTTCAATCCATCAACCCATTTGGCCACGGATACACCAATCCACAACTCTTGCATCTCGAATTTCTTACTTCTCCTCGAAGAAACTGTACCTGGTTGTCGGTCCGGCCGGCTGATGGCCGCCCGTCGCCGCCGTGCCTGGTAGTGGGTCTGGCCAGCTTGTGGCCGCCCATCATTGCCCGTCGCCGCAATTCTTAGTCACGAGTTTGAGTGTGCGAGGCTCGCACTTTGCATTCGTTTGCTTCGCCTTGCAATTATGTGCGTTGCTCCGCAGTGCTTCGCATTGCTGCCCAGTGTTTTGTGTGACTTGGTGCGTGTTTGCATTGCATAATGTTGCGTTGCGTTGTTTTGACTTGCGTTGCGTTGCATTGGCTTGAACGTGCTTCGTATCGCATCGCAATATATCGGGCTGCGTGATATTGCTTCGTATTGTTTCGCAGTGATGTGCTTTTTGTATTGACGCACGCTAGACTCAATTGACATGTGTTGCTTCGCGTTGGTTCGCCTGGCGTCACACCGCTTCGCACTGCTACCGCATAACTTTGATTTGTTTCGCACCACGTTAAGTTGCCAATCGTTGTGGCTTCGGGGGGGGAGACCAAGGCTCAACCAGTGACTGCCCCTTCGCCGGGGCCCGATGGCGCGTGCACTAGCCGCGGGCCCGCCTTCGAACGCCCAGGCAGCAGCGTTAGCCCGCCCCCGACGGCTCTCGCGGTGGCCCACGTGCGAACACGAACTGCAGGGCCGCGAGCGTTCGGCAGGCGCCGAGCCGCCAGTGCCCAGAACGGCCTCGGGGCCATCCAGCACCTCACCCGCCGCGCCCAGCAGCGCCACCGCCAACGCCGCGCCCCCCACCGGCTCTGCCCCCCCCCCCCCCAACAATCAAACTATGGGCGGGGGGCGTGCAAGGGGCAGGCGGGCGACGTCGGGCAAGGGGCGGCGGGCGAGGAGGCGTCCCGGAGCACCGCCGGCGGGGGCGGCTCCGCTGGCGGGTCCACGTCGGAGGCGGCGTCGTCGGCGTCGGCTGCGCGGGCGGCCCCGGCCCCCGGCAGAACGGCACCGGCGCCCTGTCAGGCGAGCCGCGGGCCGCGCGCAGCAGCCGCGCGCGCCGCTCGGCGCCAGATCGCAGCGGCGATGCTGGCGCGGGCCCGCGCGGCGAGAGCGCGCGATGGCGCGCCCGGGCGCCTCCCTGCCGCGGCAGCCACGGCCGCGACCGCGGCCGACGCGTCCTCGCGCGGGCGGCCCCGCGTCGTCCAAGACGATGGGCCGGCGGGCGATCCCGTCAGAGGCGAGCGCTGGCAGGCGCGCCGCGCGCGTGCCAATCTTGCCGTTGAAGTCGCCCGCAGCGGCGTCCTCGCCCGCCCCGGCCGCGCGCGGCGCCGCGACGCCCGCGTCGAGCGCCGGCGGCCAGGCGACGGCAGCGGCGGCGGGGGCGCCAGCGGGGCGGAGGAAGGGCGCGGCCTCAACGAGGCCTTGCGCCACTGGCCGCGCGGCCCCGTCGGACGGGGGCGGCGGCGCCAGGAGCGCGCCCCGCGCCCCGTCGCGGCCGCGCGCGGGGCCCCGGGACGGGACAAGTCGCCCTCGTCGCGACGCGGAGCGCTTCGCGGCGGAGCGGGTGGATGGCGCCGCGGAAGTCAGAGGTCGAAGCCGCTTTCTCTCCCACGTGACAACATATTCTTGCGATGATCTACCTTGCCTCCAACTTGCGCCGCGCAGCTCCACCCGCTGCGTATTTGAACCAATTTCCGGCGTCGCCTCAGAACCTTTCTGCTGCAAGTGCGCAAACGCATCGTCTGCCCATCGCCTCCTCGGCCGGTCTACCAGGCGCCCGTCGGAGTGTTTCCGGAACTCGGGGTGGCGCGGCGCCGCCTTCATCGCCCACTTGTCGCGGCGTGAAGACGTCGTTCAGCGCGCAGACCTCCGCGCCTCACTGCGCCGCGCTATGCGCCAATCGTCAGCGCGCAGCGCGTCTACTTGATGCTCGACTCTGGTCGACGCTCTTTTGCCCAGGCAACCCGCGGCTCGAGATCGCCAGGGCTCTCGCTGTCGTTCTCGGCGCGACGCTCTGCGCGCGCGCCGTCGTTCTCATCGGGGGCTTCGTCGGGCCCCAACACAGCGCCCGAGGCCCCGGCGCCCCCGTCGACCCCGTCGATCGCGCGCCTGCCAGCGACGAGAATCATGCGCGACGCTGTTCCGCGCGTGCTTTGCAGCCTCCTCGGCGCTTGCTGCGCCAGCGCCCATGAAGACGAGCCGCGTCGCCCATTTAGCGCAAGGGCGTTCTCGAGAAAATGGAGACGCAACGACCAGTCATACTTCTTACTCGTCAGCTCCGATTATCGCGCCATGAAGACTTTCCAAGCCTGCTGGGCGCGACGCTCCAACTCTGTGCGAATGTCTGGCGATGGCCCGAGCACTTTGCAATGGTACTTGCCCGTCTCATCCCGCGGCTGAATCTCGATGCGCACGCCGCCAGTCACGATGCATGTTTCCTTCCTTTGTTCATGATTATTCGCGACGTTTGCCCGGGCTTTCGCGCGGCGCCGTGCCCGCCCACGCAACGACGCGTCGACTGCGTCGCGCGAAGTGGCCATGTTCGGCGACGCAAGGAAACCGAGTGGGAAGCCATAGCCTCGCGACGGCAATCTCGCCCTGATCGGGCGCATCGCGTCCTCGAGCAAGGCGCTGAACATGAGCGATCTGCGTGGGTATTCCTGCTTGGCGCCGCGTTCAACTGGGGGCCACTTTCCCTGCTTTTCGGTCGCGACTCGGGCAACTTGCCCCGCGCGCAGATGCCCCGAAACGATGATGCACTGAACGGGTGCACCTTGCTAGCGGGGGCCATTCCACAGGGCTTGGCGCCCAGCGCAACAAACCGCGCTTGAAATGCGCGCCCCCGCGCCTTCGCGACTGCAAACAGAAAGTCCCCCGCGCAAAACCCGCCCCGGTATCCAGCTCGGTCGCCGCCCCGATGCGGCTCCAGCATTGGCTGCAGTCCGTCGTGAATAGGCGCGCGAACAGCTTGTAGAAAAAAGAATGACTGTGATCGGCAAGTAAATATTGGGCAGCCGCTCGCCCCCGGCCTCCCGGGGAACCTTCGCGGCTGCCTCTCTCGACGATTTGGGCGACTTTGTCCGCGGCTTCCACGTGATATTTGACACATCTGCACGAACGTGCCAAATGCTGTCTCCAGCGTCGGAGACATCTCTGACACGACCCCGGCGTTGCATGTGCACTTGTGCCGTTGCAGTTTCTGCGTTGCTTCCTGGGTCTCGACGCGAGCGAATAGGTCGGCGGCCTTCTCAGCGGTTGCGCTCGATATCCCCGGGCGCGGCCCCACTCAGCATCGCGACGAGCAAAGCTGCTCGTAAAGTGCAGCAGAACCTTTCACCGCGTCACCATGTCCGCGCTGTCTATAACTTCTTTGTCTCCGTTCAACACGCATGTCATCAAAGGCTTCAGCGCGCGCGTCTTCCAGATCGAATCCCTCTGAGGCCCTGGGA